GTTCCAAAATTAAAAAAACACTCCGACGTTTAGGACAATTTCAATAATTAAGGCTTTTGTACGCTGGCTATGTTTGATTTAGTCTGCGAGTCAATTTATATTTAAATTGTTTCCGTCATGAATATTTTCAGAATGAGATTACTATGCAGGAAAGAAGCCGCTTCCTTCAGGTACGTGGTGGATTTAAAAAAGAAATGTAAGGTATCGACCAATCACGTTGTGCAGAAAGGACGTCGCATCAAAACATAGTGAAGTCAGGAGTTGAGGAGAAGACGTCAGAGGATCAGATCAGAGGATCAGATCAGAGGATCAGAGGATCAGATCGGAGGATCAGATCAGAGGATCAGAGGATCAGATCAGAGGATCAGATCAGAGGATCAGAGGATCAGAGGATCAGATCAGAGGATCAGATCAGAGGATCAGAGGATCAGATCAGAGGATCAGATCGGAGGATCAGAGGATCAGATCAGAGGATCAGATCAGAGGATCAGATCGGAGGATCAGAGGATCAGATCAGGATCAGATCAGAGGATCAGATCGGAGGATCAGATCAGGATCAGATCAGAGGATCAGATCGGAGGATCAGAGGATCAGATCAGAGGATCAGATCGGAGGATCAGAGGATCAGATCAGAGGATCAGATCAGAGGATCAGAGGATCAGATCAGAGGATCAGATCAGAGAATCAGAGGATCAGATCAGAGGATCAGAGGATCAGATCAGAGGATCAGATCAGAGGATCAGAGGATCAGATCAGAGGATCAGAGGATCAGAGGATCAGAGGATCAGAGGATCAGAGGATCAGATCAGAGGATCAGATCGGAGGATCAGATCGGAGGATCAGATCGGAGGATCAGGGCCCAAGAGTTCAAAACTTTTAATCCCTATCTGATCAGATCAGATTTATCTTTTGGGGAGTTCAAAACCAAACAACAGGATTAGGATCACTTTGATATCCGATCAGATCAGGAAATCCAATCCAAGCTTTAATCTGGATCAAATCTTCAAAACGGGTAGTTCAAACCGACAACACAGGATTGGGATCAGTTTGATGCCAAAAAACTGGATTATCCTGATCCCACCAGAAGGGTGGATTTCCAGTGGATTACCAGAGTAAAATGTACTGTACCATTTATTTAAAATATGTTTCAATTTAAATTAGATGGCAAAGTTTGTTAACTGAAATAATACACAATTGTTAGCCTTCATGGGACATACATTTTATTTTTCCATTTTTTGCTCACGCTTGTGGTGTCCTATTTTGTTTTCAACCAAATGTTGATGACATAAATGTTTATGCTCATGAAAGTATCACAACAAAGATTGTCAATCACAAATGTAATTTAGATTAAATTAAAAATATCTTCAACAAAAAAAAGTCCATCACCTTTCAAAAGTAATTGCAGACAATAGCATCTCGCCTTGCACCACCACTCAGTCTCTCATTTAGAGGAAAATCCATAGGTGGGCCTAGATCATCAGCAGGTGCGAGGGGCTCTGGGGGATCATCGATGTCAGAGAGGGGGACTCTGCGATGGACAGCGATATTGTGTAGCACAATACAAGCCAGTGTTATTTGGCATGCTCCTTGGGGTTCCACTCTCAGATAGTTGAGGCATGCAAAACGCCTCTTCAGTACTCCATTCAAGCGCTCAATGGCACACCTTGTTCTTCCATGGGCATTGTTGTTGCGCATCTGTGAAGGAGTGTTGGCCGTGGGAAAAGGTGTCATCACCCATGGTAGGAGTGGGTAGGCACTGTCGGCTAATATAACTCCATCCGGCCTGTTGGTTTGGAATTCAGTGAACAACCGGCTCTCTCTGAAGATACGTGCATCGTGGACTGACCCAGGCCATCTCACAACACAGTTGGTGATGGCAAGGTCAGCATCTCCCACAAGTTGCACATTGATGCTGTGCCTCCCTTTCCTGTTGACATATTCCCACTCCCTCTGACGAGGTGCTTGAATATGTACATGGGTGCAGTCGATCACCCCAATGGTGTTGGACATGTCTCCCAGAAAAAAAAAAGTTCTGCTTCACTTTGGCAATCTGGCCATCAGTGGGAAAAGTCACAAAGTGATCCAGCAGGTGAGCCAGTGCATCAGACACAGCTGTCCCCACTTCACCCACTGTTGTCCTATGGACTCCCATGCTGTCAGGTATGACCTCATAGAATGTTCCACATGCGTAAAAGCGCAGGGCAATGAGGACCTGTTCCTCTACAGTCAGAGCATGACTCCGCAAGGTTCTGCACTGCAGTTGTGGCCTGACAAGATCAGCAATGTAGTTGATGTCATCAAGTCCAAATCAAAAACGATTGTACAGTTATTCTGTTGTGTACTGTTGGAGAGGTTTGGGGCGCTCGGTGTGGACCTTTTGGCAGTAACCTCTCCTTCCAGCATGGAAGATGTGAACAATCCCTGCCATGACTGTGTTCTGACTGTTGTTTCAGTCAGTAGGCCTACATCAGTCTCTGAATAACAACTAATTGCAAATACACACCTGGAATGAATGTCCAGATTGGTTAGGGCCTGCGGTTAATTATGTAAGTAATAGCAAGGCCAGACCTATAAAACTAATTGCTGACCTGACCAAACCATTGAGTTGGAAAGATGGACAAAAAGGGGCCTAATTTTACATCTGCTGAGACCCATGCACTGCTGCTGGGTGTAAGGAACAATTATGACTCCATAGTTGGTAACTTTAACAGAGAGGGTGGAGCGACTAAAGTAAAGAGCGGAATATGGATGGAAGTTACAGACAATGTGAATGCCACAGGATCTGGACACAAGAGGACGGGGGACCAAGTGAGGTTGAGGTGGAAGAATTTGAAGCAGCAAGCTACCAAAGACCACAGCCAGGCTAAAAACCCACAGACGGGTAACACACCACATAAAAGGGGACAATACACAGATGTGGTACTTGATATCATTGGTGGTCAGCAGTCACAATCTTTACATGGAATACCAAACGTTGTACTGGATGGTGAGTCGCAGGTATGTGTGATTTTATCCTTGTTCCTATAGAACTACAATTATTATCTTGTATAATTGTTATTTTCATAGTACTACAATGGCTATATGTCTTACATAGCATCCTAGTACTACAATTTTCCAGGTTGCATGCTTGTGATCATCTTATTAAGGGGTATACAGTATATTGATAAACTTTCATTTCAGGTCGTCAATACACCTGATGTGACACACACCATTGAAGATGAGGTCCTCCTGACCCATGTGGATCCAGAAGCTGGACCTTCAGCCAGGCCTGATGACACACTGCAAGAGCCACCTCTAAAGAGAAAATGCAAGCGCACCAGAAAACCAGAGCAGAGGGATGATGCCTACGAGACTCTGCTGAGCCGTGAAATGGAGAGGGCAGAGATGCAGATCCGTCTGGCCGAAGAACAAATACAGCTGTGCCGGCTTCAGCAAACTGAAACCTCACTGATAATTCAGCTCCTCAAAGCACGCCTGGATGATCCAGCTGCCTTTGAATGAATGCTTTATTGTTGTTACCCTAGTGGGAGTATTTTTTTTAAATTACAATTTCATTATGATTTGATGTCCTTTATGTATTTAAAAATATAATTAAACATTATAGATGTCTCTGCAATGTGGTCTCTTGTCTTCCTTGTATTATTTTCATGTCCACTAGATGGCGATCGGTAGGATTAAAGCACTGATATTCAGGATCTAGTCATCTTGACTGATCCTATCCTGAATTGCTTTGAACTCCAGGGACAAAATGTGGCCGACTTGTCTGATCCTGGATCACAAAAAATGGGATTTCAAAATCTGATCGGATCTGATTGAGATTAAAAGCTTTGAACTCTTGGGCCCAGCAGACTCAGAGATTCGCAAATCCTGACTCACTGTGCAAAACACAGCAGACTCGTGCGGACTCAGAGGCGTAACCGTATAGCAACAGATCCAGAGATCCAGCAGACTCTTCGTCATGCACGAGTCAACAGCAGACTGAGATTCGCAAAATCGCAAAATGACCCTTTTTTTGTGATCAACATGTTTTATTAAAGCAAAAGACACGACTTTACACACATTTAACACATACAAACACCAGTATTGCAATGATTACGCAGTCCATGAGAAAAAGGGGGGGGGGGGGGGGGGCTGGGGGGGGGGCATATGATTAGATCTACACACTGTTTTCATGACCCAAATATGTATATATGTTCATTTTAATTAATTTCTTATTTTTCATAGTTATTTTATCATGGGTGGAGATAATGGGTGAAGATATGCTTGATTTTTTTGTTTGCATTTAAAAAAATAAGTGTTTTGCATTATATGTATATAGTTATTTTAATATGTTCCTGTATAAGCACATTTTGCACAATTGTGTTTTAATAATTGTATAATTAAGACATTTTATATATTCTAACTGTTTTGCAATTTTCTGTTTTCTGACTGTTGCACAACATGACAATTTTGTTAGAAGTCTACACTGAAACTTCATTTAGAGCCGGAAACATAATGGACTTAATCAAAATCGCGGGATCCGTGAATCCAGGACAATGATCGAGAGAGACCAGTAGCCTACGAGTTAGTTAGCGGAACTTCACAGACTCGCAAATCCTGACTCACTGTGCAAAACACAGCAGACTCGTGTGGACTCAGAGCCGTAACCGTATAGCAGCAGATCCAGAGATCCAGCAGACTCGTCGTCATGCACGAGTCAACAGCAGACTCAGATTCGCAAATCCTGACTCACTGTGCAAAACACAGCGGACTCAGAGCCGTAACCATAGCAGCAGATCCAGAGATCCAGCAGACTCGTCGCAAAATGACCCTTTTTTTGTGATCAACATTTTTTATCAAAGCAAAAGACACTGTGTAGCGGAGGTTAATATAAAGTCAGTTTAATATGCTCGTGAAATGCAACAAGTTTTCGGTTTCACCGATAGGGTTTCTACGGTCTTGGTGATGCTGACTCATATGACTCAAATGACTCGTATGATCCGGATCTCTTCAATGACTGACTCAGAATACCCTGAGTCCGTAAAAGGATCCGGATTTGCCATCTCTAAGCTTCACAAGTACGTCGGTACGAAAATGCGCTTTGTGACACAAGTGACGGTACGCATTTCAGATTGTTGCCGTGCATGCGTACCTGCGTAACAGTTATGTGCACCCCTGGATATAACCTCCTTCACTTTAAAGACTTCACCTGAGCGTAACCATGGTGCTTACTGTATTAATTCTGGAAAAATAGCATTACATCAGTGCACAATATTCAACAGATTAAGATTGATGAATGTTCTGTTGCAACCACTTAAATGTCTTTTATTTCACATGCTGTCCATGACTCATACTAGTTTTTTTCATAATCACAGGCCTGTGTGCCAAGTAGAACACAATGTTCTTGATTTCCTATTTGGGTTTCAACAAAAAAAAGAGTAAAAACAAATGCAAAAGTTAAGCACCTAAGCATGGTTAGAATAAAGAAGCCCAGACCATATAAATATAACTGGTTGAAAACCACAGACCAGAGTGAGGCAAGCTGCTATTTCACCATCAGTGGATACCCGCCACCACATGTGTATTGTTGTATTATTATTGTTATGCTGAGAGAGGAAAAAGGATCATCCTCGGTTCGTTTCGTCATTGTGGCTTCAAGAAACCGCCGTCTCGATGTCAACACTGTTCTATTGTTTGGTTCATTGAGGATCACATACAGGAAACTGACATATGTACTATATAATAGGAGTTATACAAAAACAGAATGACTAACATATGTATGCAGAGGTGGGTTCACTGACCTGATGAGTGGTATGTTGTCCAGGGTGCAGCACAGGACTGGACCCCTCTGTAGTGGGAGCTGCTCCTCACATGACTCATTGTAAAGCCTGCAAACACACACGGGGACATGCAAATACTTTTAATCTGTAGATATTGACAGATAACGAGATTTAAAAGTAAAATATTAAAGGATCAAAGCCAGAACGTCGCATGAATTTTCAAAAACTCATGATGAGCCAAGCTAGAATCTTTTTAGTTCACTCAAGTAAAAACAAATCCCGATTTCAAGTTTCAAAGGTGCATAATGTATCTAATGTAAGCAAATGTGTGTAAAGTCTGTTAATGTTTGAGCCTTAAGACGCACTTTTGGAGCTTCATGACTCAGGATCTACGCAAACAACTGTAGAAAATTAACCCAAAATATGTTAGGTGAAAGGTATCTTGAATAACAGGGAAATGCTTAGCTGTCCGTGTTGTTTTGCCTTCACACACGCTTACTGATGTATCAGAGCACATTTGTGCTTTTATATTTGACTCACTTTTGAAGCTGCAGCGCTTTTCTCCAAATGGAAGTTTTAGCGCGTTTGCACTTGTCGGCTACCGTATATATCAATATATGAAAGTCAATGTTTTGGTAGCTGCACTGCAAACAGGCTGGCAGATATTGACTTAAACATCTTTGCTGATAAGGTTTTTGAAAACATCTTGACATGTGATAACTAATTAGATTCCTTACAATTTTCATTTGGAATATTTATGTGTTTTCTGTACCAGCAGGGAAGGTACTTTTATTACACACAGGTACATTTAATCCATGTTTAAGTTTCACATTCCACAGATTATTAGGAGTTAAATTCATCTGTCTTGACTCGAGTTTGGATTCCTCCCATTTTGATGTGTTTGCATTCTGAAACTTCAGTTTACTGTAACTCCCCTCATACATCCACACAGTCTGTCTCTCCCCTCATGTCAACCTTTGCCCCTGCAGCACTTTATCTTCTTCATTATCACCCCAAAGTCCTCACATCTCCATCTCATGCCTCAGTATGTTCAAATTAAGACTGACAGGAAGTGGGGAGTGAGGCCTCACGGATGTAAATATAGAAAAAGTTGCATTGCGCAAATACAAGCCCGCCATAAATGACCTTATTCCTGAATGCTGCGCACACTCGCCAGCTGAGAAAGATTTTCCTTCCACCGTTTTCACAGTTTTCCCAGTGGGCATCTGCAAGTATTTATTCACAATCAGTGACTGCTTTTTGTGTGTTTTGTGGTGCATTAACAGGAAATGAGAATAAGTCCTCACTACTCTATAAAAAGCATTTTTTTCCTCTTGGTTTTGGCCCTTCACCCAAACTGAGCTGATGTGTTTCAGACCTTTCTCCAACTTCAATGAACACAAAACGCTAGCATCTCGTTTTTGTGTAGATGAGTGGGGGGGAAAGTGTTAGAAACAAGGATGTGAATCAGTGTTTTATGATTGATCTGACCACAGAAACAGAAAGATACGTAAAGTGAGTTATTTGCCTACCAAAATAGATCAAAGATGTGGAAAACGCTGGTGTGGACACCATGTTTTCACATCTAGTTGGCAGCTTCAACACTGACATATTGTCATCTTTAAAGTTGATATTGAACTTGTCAGCAAACATGTCCACATTTAGCAGTTAAAGGGCAACATGATCATTCATTTTCAGTTATGTTTCTGGTTAGCTGATGATTGTAAGTCCGATATTCTCCCTCTTTCAGCCCTGTTTTGGTCTCAACCAACTCCTTGGAAAAATATCTGTCAGAACTTTACCTGTTTAGGAATTGTTGGGGCAAAATAAAAGTGTTTTATGCAAAAAAATTAAACAACACTGCATCAGTTTGTTTATGAAAGGACTGCAACTAAATACTTTAATTATTGATATCTATTAACTGTTTAGTTTAAAAAATGTTGAAAAATAGTAAATCATGTCAATCCAGTTCCTCCAAGGGTATCCAATGTGATGTCTTTAAATGTTTGTTTGTCAGTCAATAACCTAAAGATATAGACTTTAATGTGATTTTAAAAAATAGAGAAAAAAGGAAATCTCCAAATATGAGAAGTTGAAAACAGCATTTTTGAAAATGTTTCGATAAAAGAAAATGACTTTGAAAATCAATCGAATATCAAAACAGTTGTGTAATACTTTTTCTCTCAAGATCGAATTGTTCTCTATCTTCTCCAAGCATTACATCTGATTCTTGGCTTTGTCTGGCTCTCTGCTTGAATGTCCTATTACAACTGAATTCCTAAAACTTACAGTACACATTAGTGAGTAATAATGTCCATGACACCAAGTGCACTACTGCCAGTACTGACATCATGAAGCAGTGTGCGTGCATGCGCGCGCGCGTGTGTGTGTGTGTGTGTGTGTGTGTGTGTGTGTGTGTGTGGTGTGTGTGTGTGTGTGTGTGTGTGTGTGTGTGTGTGTGTGTGTGTGTGTGTGTGTGTGTGTGTGTGTGCCTTACGTACCAGTTATGGACAGGACAGACATGCTGGTTGTACAGGGACATTGCATATCTGTAAAAATAAAAGAAGATAAGAATCTTTGGTCAAAGAACTGAACAGGAAGACACAAAAATGAAGAATTTTGATATAGATACAATTGATCAAACAAGATCTCCAGTCCTAAAACATCACTGTCAGTACTTTATTAATTTTTAGAAAATAATAAATATCTTCCACTTGGGAAAAAGTTCTGTTTCACTCACGTAAATGAAGCACCTAAAATATAGAGCAGTATTCATGCTTTTCAGGGCATTTAAGTAACATACTTTTGTACTACTCAAAACATATGTCACATGAATTACCATGATTTAGCATTTACAGAATGAGGCCACTTGTGTTCGTCATACGTGTGTATGCAGAAGCAGCTGGCTGTTTTTTTTTCAAGGCCTCTAGCATGGCTGTGGACTTGTTTCACGGATGTCATCAATGTTATCTGAGGCTTAAATATATCAAGACAAACTGTAAGAGATCAAGTCATGAAACAATCACATTGTGCCACAGATAAGACACACACTGAGTGAACACACAGAGAACAAAACAGGCTCCTGAAGAATTGATTTGCCTTGACCTAAGAGTGATGAACTTTGTTGAAAGGAGATCACAGCTTTTGGTCTGAAATAATTCACTTGGTTTTGGTTCAAATGTAGAAACAGTGATTTTCCTTGATGGTTTCCTGTTATGAAAATCTCACTAGTTGCAGTTCATGCTTCATTTGTGTTTCTGGATCATCAGAGCTTTCAAAGGCACCAGCAGACAGGTGTCAACATGTGGGGGATTACAGACTCCTCTCCTACAGGGGAAAGCTTTGGAGACCTGGTGTGAAAAATTCTCGCCCCCACTTTGTCAAGGTGTGATGGCTTCTCACAAAAGGAGACTGTGTCAATGAATTCACACCGAGGAGAGAAAGGAAGAAGAAGAGAGGAGAGACAAAGGACATATTCACATAGAGCAGAAAATATACTTAACGTCTCAACATCCTTAAATCTGCAGTAGTAGTGTGTATGATGGTGTAACTGCTATGTACCGTGCAGCCTGTCAGTGTGTCTTTAACAAGAACAGCTGCAGGGCAAAACTATTTACCAAAGATTTGTGGTGTCTAGGTCTTCTGTGGAATAGCATTATATCACAATATGTCATTTTCTGCCACTAGAAGTTTATTCATCAAAAACATTGGCAAAGACGAATTCTGGTGGCATTGTAAAGTAGTGGTTGATCACCGGAGTATGTTATTGCAATCAGCTGAATTAGAGGTCTCCTTCACTCCAAAGCGAACATACTCAGTGATTAAAGTGGGTAAAAAACAGTCAATAATGCACTTAAAAGTAAAAAATCAGTGTTTTTGAAAATGTCCTGGCTTGTTTCTCAGATAACTTAAGCTCAAGACATTCATGGACTGAAATATAGGGTACTGCCAAGATGGTCATGAAACCCACAATCCCCTGGATAATATTCTCATTCTGATTCTGACCTTAAGCAAGGCACAAAACCCCCAAGTGCTGAGCGGCCTAACCATTGGCTGCTCCTTCTCTCTGACATCTAGTATTTATTTCGGATTTATGTGTAATTCAAATAAATGTGAATCTTCTTGATGTGGCTGAAAGCTGGATACAATATCAATGTATGACAGCTTCTGGCAGACAACCATAACCTTTATATTCATAAAAATATACAGATTGTTCAAAGGTATCTACAATTCTTGGAAAGCTTTGAGGTAATGTAAGCATTTATTCAGTTTTATGATTCAATTATTATTCTGGGCACAAAGTAACACTAAACAATAATAAGGTGTAAGAGATAGGAGACAAACATTTCACTGCAATTTAAGATCATTTTCATTAAAAAGATTGCTTTAAATTGTATAAATCTGAAGGACTAAAAAAGGATAGCTTTGAAAAACATATATTATTTGATACAGAAGAGACAACAAATCTTTAATCCCAAGGCTGAGTTAAGAATAATAGTGCAATATTTTACAAATCCACTTGTTTGCTTTACTGCAGAGAGTAAGAAGAAAGATGAACACCACTCTCATACAGTAAAAATGAACCTGCAGTTTAGCCTAGTTTAACATTAATACTAAAAACAGCAAGCATGGCTGTGTGTTGTCGTCACTGAGAGGCTGCCAGGCAACCAGCAGAGACTGTTAAACCACAAATTGTTTTTATTACACTTTGGTATGTGTACAGATTAAACAAACCAGTGTTAATGTGTGAGCTTTTCAAAGGCTGGTAACTCCCTTAAATCTCCATTTAACACCTTCAATGTTAAACACACAGATCACTCTGAACTCTCACTCTGTATCCCATGATGCCTCAGTGTTCTGCATACTTCCAAATATAAAGATGAAACTGGATGTATTTACAATGGTTTTAACTTCCATGGCATGCATCTTAAGCCTCCTGAGGCCCTGACACACCTACCCCATTTTGGGAGTCAGGCCGTCAGAGGCCGTCAGAGGCAGTCGGGCATTCGCGGCGCCCTACTCAGGTTGGTGTGTCCCGCACCGTTGTTGCTTTACGGCACATTTTCACACCTCCCGCGGCCGATTCAACATGTCAACATGTTGAATCGGCCAAAGAAAGTTGGCCAAAGAAATCACTCTGATTGGCTGTTGCCTCTTTTGAATGACGAATACACACTACCGCTGCCTGCTGGTAAGGAGTTATTGCCACTCGTCGGCTGAAGTCTTTGCGGTGTGTTCGTGCGTAAAGGCGACGTAGCGGACGTAAAAGTCGGGACGCCTTCGGTACGCGTTCTTTGGTCTCAGGTTGGTGTGTAGCGGCCTTTACACTACACACCAAACTGACACCAAAGAACACGTCCCGACGGAACGTCGCTTCACCTCACGTCTCCTGCGTCTTTGCCATGTTTCGCACTGGAACACACCGCAAAGACTTCAGCCGATGGCCAAGTTGCACGTACGAACTGCGCATGCGTGAGTGGCAATAGCTCTCCTTACCAGCAAGCGGCGGTAGTGTGTATTCGTCATTCAAAAGAGGCAACAACCGGAAGACAGACTGCGTGATAACTGAGAGAAGAAGAACAGACTGCATGATATAAACAAACAACAAATAGCGTGTGCATTCCATTTTCACTCTACAGCGAGAAGCTCATGGGGCTTTCCCGAACCTGTGTCGAGAGCTGGAGTTAAATTAAATCTCAGATTTGCCTTCTTAATAGTTTGTTTGGGTCCCTCACTTCCGTTTCGCTTCTCATGCACTGATTCGCTAAGCTTCCAAAAAATTATGTATTGAAGTCAATGGAGAGAGAAAACGTATCTTTCGATCCCGTTTGAATTGTGCCACGAATTACACATATGATGTTTGTCAATCTTAAAAAATAATTTCCATGTCAAAAAAGTCACAGTTGTTGTTAAAACTGTTGAAATATAAGACTATGAAAAATAGGCAACTAGAAAGACTACAAATCCCAGAGTTGCGTAAGTGATGTCATAACTGATGTCACAATTATTTTCCTCCGCTAAATATAAGAGATAGATCAGGGTTGCCAACTCACGCATCTGGCGTGTGACACACGCTTTCACTCTCAGTCTCACGCTCTCACGCTCTCACGCTGCCCAAACTATTCTCACGCCAAAAAGAAGATGAACCGGCGATCGTTTTTCGTTGGTTATTTACAATGTTGAGTTGACAGCTGCTCAAGCTGTCGATCCCCTCCCTCCCCGCCCCCACCAATCTTAACAACGTCAACAGACAGCAGAGCAGTGGGAGCCGACACGTATTGCGCATGCGCAGATCTAAGATCCAGTAGAAATGATTAAAAAGTGTGCTGCTTATTGTTCTACTAGGCCAAAAGAGAGTCAAAGATGAGAGTGAGAGTGTGTTAATTAATATATTTGGCGGTTTGGAGTAAGTCTGTAGATTTGTTTGTGTGTGTGTTCATGTATAGGCCTCTCACGATAATTAATTTTGTTGGATACATTTTCCCGGAAATGATTGCGATAAACGATAATATTGTCAGCACCGTTGTATGACCATTTTAGATCACTGACATAATGATAATATATAATAATAATTCAAGTATATCCTTTCAAACGGCTAGTCACATCCTCATGTAAATGGCAATTTATCGAGGTCAGAAAAGTTATCGAGTTCATTTTTATTTATCGTACGATAATTGAATTAATTGCTTATCGCGACAGGCCTATGCACACAATAAAACAGTGGAAACAAACATGTGTTTGACTTTCATTACTGAATGAAACGTTGTGCCCTTTATAGTCTGTGTCCAATATTGTTAGTGAGTGAACAGGTAAAGGTGTTTTTATGTACAAATGACATCCTGTCTAAACATCAGTCAGGCTTCAGAAAGCAACACAGCACCATCACTGCCACAATGAAAGTGGTGAATGATGTGGCGAGTATTTTAGATAATAAGCAGAGTTGTGCAGCTCTATTTATTGACCTTTCAAAAGCGTTTGACACCGTCGATCATCGCATTTTAAAGCAGAGGCTAGCCAGTATAGGCATGTCCAGCCATGCAGGGTGGTTTGTGAACTACCTCTGAAAGGTCCCAATGTGTTCACTTTGATGGGCTGTCTTCTGAGTGGTTAAACATTGCTAATGGTGTTCCCCAAGGTTCTGTTTTAGGTTCACTTTTATTCTCCATATATATCAATAGTTTAGGTGAAAATGTGGATGAAGCTACTTTACATTCATTTGTATGCGGATGATACCGTGATGTACTGTGCAGGTCCCTCCATTAAGGAGGCTGGTGTTAAATTACAGGCTGTTTTTAACATTATTCAGACTCAGCTCTCTGAATTAAAGCTTCTTTTAAATGTTGAGAAAACCAAGGTAATGCTCTTTTCTAAAGCTAAAAAGACACCAGAGCCTGTTTTAGATATTGTAACTACGCAAGGAATACAACTTGAAGTGGTTACCTGTTACAAATACCTTGGTATCTGGCTTGATGATTGTCTCACTTTTAAACTTCATGTCAATAACCTGCTTAAAAAGCTGAGGGTTAGGCTAGGTTTCTTCTACAGGAACAAGTCCTGTTTCTCGCTTGAGGCCAGGAAAAGGCTAGTCACTGTGACCTTTTTACCTGTGCTGGACTATGGTGATCTGATTTATATGAATGCACCTGCCAATTGCCTGGTCAAGTTCGATGCTGCGTATCACAGCGCACTGAGATTTGTGACAAACTGTAAAGCATTAACCCATCACTGTACCCTGTATGCAAGGGCTGGTTTGCTTTCACTAATTGTACGGAGGCTCAGTCACTGGTACATTTTTATATACAAAGCCATGTTAGGGAAACTTCCATCTTATATCTGCTCCCTGATCTCACGGAAAATTGTAAGTGGCTACTGCCTGAGATCGAATGCTGTGGTTTTATTAAATGTGCCAACTGCTAGGACTGTCTGAGGGAAGACAGCTTTTAGATGCGCAGCTCCTCTGTCTTGGAATAGTCTGCAAATTAAATGGAAACTGAACAATCTGGTGCCACTAAATGTTTTTAAAGCTCGGTTGGATGCTACTCAATCGGAAGCTATAGGTACCTGTTTATGTGGATAATTATGTAAATGATGCTGTATGATGTCCTTTTGTTGTTCTATTTATGTTTTTATGTTTCATGTGGAACTACTTGAGCAGGTCTCCCTTGAAAAAGAGATCAATGATCTCAATGGGATTTATCAGTATAAATAAAGGTTTGAAATGAAATGATTGTGTATTTGTATATATTGTATATATATATCCTATATATTGCTAAGGTCCCGCTACTGACACGATAGCAGTCATTTAGTGCGCATATGTGTAATTAAACCCATGATATCAAAATCTCACTCCAGCCAGGTACCCAAAGTTGGCCACCCTGTACTAGACCAAAATAGAGTCAAAGAGTATATGAGCGTGAGAGTATGTTAATTAATATATTTGGCAGTTTGGAGTAAGTCTGTAGATTTGTTTGTGTGTGTGTTTCATGTATAGGCCTCTCACGATAATTAATTTTGTTGGATACATTTTCCCGGAAATTATTGCGATAAACGATAATATTGTCGGCACCGTTGTATGACCATTTTAGACCACTGACATAATGATAATATATAATAATAATTCAAGTACATCCTTTCAAACTGCTAGTCACATCCTCATGTAAATGCAATTTATCGAGTTCATTTTTATTTCATTTTATTTAAGTCAATGAATTGCTTATCGCGACAGGCACACAATAAAACAATGGAAACAAACATGTGTTTGACTTTCATTAGTGAATGAAAATGTGTGCCCTTTATAGTCTGTGTCCAATATTGTGTATTTGTATATATTGTATATGTATCCTATATATATGCTAAGGTCCCGCTGCTGACACGATAGCAGTCATTTAGTGCGCATATGTGTAATTAAACCCATGATATCAAAATCTCACTCCAGCCAGGTACCCAAAGTTGGCAACCCTGGTATAGTGAGGGTAGTCAATCGTTTTGTTGACAAGACAGTAGTGACGGCCATCTTTGTGGCGTGTGTTGTTCTGCGAGACCAGAGATGTAGTTCATTGAGCGTTTCACACAAACAAATGTGTTACTTCACAGTTTTACGACACTTTTTTTTTTTTTTACTTGCAAAATTATCTTTTAAATTGACAAACATCATATGTGTAATTCGTGGCACAATTCAAACGGGATCGAAAAATAATCTTTCTCTCCCCATTGACTTCAATACATAATTTTTCCGAAATAAGGTCCCATGGCTCGGAAGTAGATGGGCGGGACTTCGCCTCTCTATAGAAATACATTGCTTTTAAAATCGTTCTGTGTGACCATGTGACACGAAAAAAATGGGAAAATCGTGTTGGTGAACACGAATCAATAGATTAAATGTCGTGACTATAACACGAAATGCAGTGAGACTGGGTTGACCTGTTTCAAGTCAATCTGCTAAACTAAGCTAACGCCAGCAAGCTTTAGCTACACACTGTATTTAGCATACGGTAAGAGCTGTAACCTTCTCCTCATCTTAACAACAGTGCAACTAAATGTGTTTTTTTAAATTGTCATTCTTATCTTTAGAGGTGTTTAAAACTATACTCTATTAAATCTTTGACCATAGTTGATTATGTGCTGTCAAAAACACATTTGTGGTACACACTCACAAGAGCAGTTTATTGGCAGCATGGAAAGCAGCCCTAATGTATGCTGCTGTCGTGCAGAGCTACAGATGTGACTGCTGTGGGAGTAAAGCAGATGCAGATGACAGGACATGCAGACCAGAACACCGAGGCTGAGAGGAATTTCAAGGGTGACTCTTCTCAGGCACAATCGTAGTATAAACAGAAGGACGTTATACTGTCTCTTTCCAAAGAAGCGACTGTTTTAAATGCATGAACTTTGTACAGACAGTTTAGGTCATCATGACCGCAGCAGGGATAATAGGTAGCCTCTCTAACAAGCTTATGTAAAGATAACCGAGGTTGAAGTTTGTCTACAGAAAGACTTTTTAGGAGCAACTGTTGATGTTTATTTTCACCAATTCTGAGGTATACTCACACGACCCATATCCCAGTGATGGTGAAGACAGGCAGGCTGACGGGAAGGATCATCCACAGAGACATGATGACCACCTGCAGAGAGCAACAAACAACATTAAAACCAAATTAATCAGTTTAAAAAACATTAATAATCTGGTTATGCACTTTTAGGACATCATATTATTAGACTACTTGATCCATTGATTCATATGCACACATTTGGACAGCCAACAATCATTTACTCATTAAATAAGATATAAGGTAAAATGTTGCTGTGTTTCTGTGTTTTTTATCGCTTTCTGTTGTTGGATAGTGTAAAAATAGCCTACTCTGTTACAAGTACAAGTCCTGCACTCTAAAATAATTCAAAAGCAGCCGGTGAATTGGAGCAAATTGTATTACTACTTTATATAATAGTTTAACTATATTAAAAACATCATAATTTGTCAAATTAAACTCAATCCTGTGGAGGAGTGGAGTAGAGGTACAAAGTAGAATGAATTTGTGAAGAACCAGAACCTCAGAATTGTAAATAGGAACAGTACTTGAGTAATGTACTATGTTATATTTAGCACCACTCATCACTGTAATTTAAATGTCTTTGAGTTATATACTGTTGGTTGGAATTCCAACCATTTCTGACATGTAATACACTGATTGAATAATGAAAATAAGGTTACAAAAGGTTGATTGACAGTGATAATAACAGTCAGTTGCAGACCTTAAGCAGGTTAAAACAAATGTGGTTGAGTACTGTATGAACCAGATAAATACACTGACAATGGGCTGCAGCAGGCTCACTGTTTACTATTACTGATTGATCTACTCAGAGTAAATTAACCTGCAGACAATGCAGCCATGGAAACGCCTAAACATGTTGTTCCCCATGACCGGATTAATCTGCCCGGAGACCCAGGGGAGCTGTTGGGCCCCTCTCAGTCCCCTGTTTCTGTCCCTCTTTTACAAGCTATTCCCTGGGCTCAGGTTAGCTGTGTAGCAGTCATTAAAAAACAAATCATTTGAGGTTTGACTTATAAACGGCATCTTGGACTCTCATGTCGCCTTAATGTCTATAGGAGTAACCTGAATGTTGAAAAGTCTATGCTAAATACCCAGACATTACAATTAACACCAAGGGGTCTTGGCCAACTGACATATGTGATGTTGTGATAGTGACAGCACAGAACTGAAGCTATAGAGCTCTTAAGAGGGTTTTGAGATTGAAGAAGAGGTAAGAAGCACTGCCACAACCAATGATTATTTTCATTATGGAGTTATCAATAATTGTCTTGATTAATCAATAAATAGTTTGATTTAAGACCTCATAAAGAAAAAAAAACAAGTCATCAAACCGACCATAAGAAACTGAGCACAGTTTAGTACAATTAATAGGGTTTATGTTCAGTGTTGAGACAAAGTTACTACTAATCTACTCTTAACTTATTTATCTTCAAGATGGAACTTTTATTTAAAAAACGAGACATACCTTTTTTAAATCACAGTAAGAAACACTTTGATTTGAGAAGCTGTCACTGTCTAATTTAATAATTTAATTGTTTGTGGATTCAGTTATTGATCCATAAAAGCCTGGAATAAAAGTGCTGCTTGCAAATCCATTCATCTGTCAGTTTTAGAAGATATATTAATACAAATAATATTTATAAAACAAAGCATCCAAGAACGACTGCATATTCCACTTGAAGAAAGGTTGGGAAATGATTTAAATTGATCATCTAAATGTACTCATATAATGAAGTTTAAGCACTTTTTTGATCTTTCTTACAAAACGCACTCAGTAAATAGAAAATCATAACTCAAGAGGTTGCCTGTTCCTTCCTGTGAGTTTATTTAAACACACAAGAAATGTTGACCACCATTCATTCAACTTGCTTGAAACTATTATCACAACTAACAACAAAAAACAGGGAAGTATATTTTTCCATGACTTTTGTCTCCTCTGGTTTTACTGTACAGAAGCTGCTTGTTTCTCCAAGTACTTCCCAATTACTGTCATTACTTCAGGAACATCTGCATACAGAGGTGTAGTGAAGGGGGCTTTTCCTACCTTCGGTTTGTTCCGTGGAAAAAGTCTTCAGGCTCTCCTCTTCATCTCAAATTGTACTGCTAGTCTGAGCTCCTCTGCATCAGCTGATCCAACTGGTTTCATTGTAAAAGGTGTGACAGATCTGATGCCGATTGATCCCCTTCATCTCACTCTGAGGCTGCTCGGAGATCAGCCTGATGGCAGTGATCCTCCAAACACACAGCAGCTGGATACAGGAACTCCAGACTCCTCCCAGTAACACACACTCACATGTTCTACCATTTTAAATCCAGATCTGACAGTATAAACTCCTTTTAAGAATTTTTTTATTTCAGGGTTGGAAAATAAACATGTTTTTGTCTTTTAGTACAACTTTATCTGAGTTTATTTACGTGTCTGTGGAGAGATGTTTGGCTTTTGTATACTTTACTGAGTGCTTGGAAGTGTGCGTTCAGCTGCAGGTGTGTTGTGGTGTTTCTTTTCTTGTTTTGGATTATTTTGTTCCTTTTATAGTTCTTGGAATCACATTTCACGCCCGTTTCGCAGATTAATCACACTTTTGGATGTGCTCGTGTTTTTCTATTCCAAAGAAGCTCCAAATGTTTTCCAGGAAAGCGGAATATGGTGCATTCAAGTGCCCCTTAAAAAGCTCGTGTTTTTGAGCTGACAGATGGAAATGTTGAGGATGTTTGACTGGAGGTTTAATGTAGTATGGGAACGTTTTTGAAATGGTCAGATTTTTTTATTATTATTATTTCTGAAACGTAAATGGTTTATTTGCAATTAAATGTCTATACTTTATATTTTTGCACTCATATTTATTAATTGCTTGTTTAATGCCATCCTTTTTTCTATTATTGTTACCAGTTCCATCCTTATTAAGTGTATTCTGCTGCACTTTTCTATGACTTAATGTTTGTCTTTCACACTTTTGCTTTTATTTCTGTATACACAAGGCCATGGAGGAATAGGCTACAACCTTTAAAAAAACTCCCTTTCAAGTTAAAGTCCACCATCCAAAGTAAGCGCAACCTATAAGTATCACAAGTAAAAATAAGGATCCTACAAAAACAAACGGTCTGTGTGAGTGATAATATAATATGTCATCATCAAATTGATATCAGTTGGATAAACGTGTTCTAAGAGCTGTAAGATGAGTAATGGGGCATACACTAAGAGTTCTGCTAGACATTTCTTTATTATTATGTGGAATTTTCTCCAAAATGTTGTTGTGAAATATTAAATATGTTTTCCTCACAGGAAATGGGAACTATGTGTACTGTACTACTACTCTGTTACAGGTTCAGTACAGCCTAGGTCCTCACCAAAATACTTACAACTGTAAAATAACACAACAACGTAGGCCTATCATTGATTGGAGTCACCGTTGTTATTTACTTGTTATTTATATTCCGTTCAAATATAATTTCTTCCTACAGGATTTGAAGGCAACTTCACGTGGCTCCTCGCGTGCGTCACAGTGCAGAGATGCACACAGCTGCTTTCAATTAACGTGATTTTAAGTCGGAAACAAATGGCGCTACTTTACAGAGCCAGAGTTACTCATGAAGCAACAGAGGAAACCATGGCAACTGACTCGTGCCGCGCGAGGGCGCCACAGGCTTTCCATTATAGGCCCAACACCTGGGAGCAGTACTACAGGGTAGGAAAAAAACATGTAAAAGTCCTGCATTTAAATCTTAGCTAAGTGAATGTACAAGAGTATAAACATTACAATTGACCTACAATACCAAAGTAAAAGTATTTATCTCTACAATGGCCAATTTCAAAACGATGTATATTCTAGGGTAGTTTTTGATGCCTTAATGTGCAGATCACTTTAATGTTGCAGATGGTAAAGGTGGGGCTAATGTCAAATGCTTTGTATACTGATGTTAATTATAGCAGTAGGCCTACACAGTATAATGTATAAGTAGTTTTATATTCCGTTTCTACAAAATTGCTTGTCAATGTTATCAATTACATCTACATGCGTAAAATCAACAATATTCCTCAGATTTCCTGTACTCTTCTTCCTTAGGAAACTTTGACTTGTAATGTAGTTTTATATACTTTTACTTAAGTGAAGGATCAGATAACTTCTTCAATCAATAATGCAACAGTGGGCTATAAATAAATAGTAAATAAATAAAGTAAATAGGCTATTCAGATTTACTTAGGTAGAAGTATCGATACTACCTAGAGATGTAGAAAGTAGAAATGCTTTGTACCAAGTAAAAGTCCTGCATTTGGATTAGTATTATTCTTACGTACATACAAGTATTATGATCAAAATATGCTTAAAGGACCAGAAGTAAAATGACTCATTATAGAGAATGGCTAAATTCAGAATTGTTGGATTATAATTATTGCTTTAATAAAAGTAGATATACTGCTAGTAGCTTAACCTCCAAAAATGTTTATATTTTGGATGAAAAATCTAAATCTGCAAAGCAATTTAAAATGTCCCAAAAGTGTAGTGGTATAGAGTATAAAGTACAAGTACTTCAAAAATTGTTCTTGAGTTGTAGTTTAAAAATGTGTTGTAGTTACATTCCATCAGCTGCAGTGGTGACCCTAATCCTTTATGGGATCTATCATCAGAGGCCCCTCACAGTGTGGTGTCCCCACTGCCCCTGCATAGAGGGGTTTCCTTCCCATCTGAAATAACGAACAGATATGTTTTAAAACCATTATTGTAATTTATTTATTGTTACAACATTTCAACACCAAAAGCCCTTGAACTGTTTTTTTTGTATCTCCTTCGTTTGTCAGTAGAATCCACCGGGGTAAAGGTGCACATACTGTACTACATTGTACTCCACTGCACACTGTACTGTAATGCACAGAGCAATTCACTCTGATCCATGATAGAAAAATAACAGAAGCAATGTTTGGCACACAAAATTATTTCAAGTTTAAAAGGGTTACAAGTTGTGAGCAGGAATCATTACTGACGTTACAGAACACCTCAGCCAGTCTTCACCTGGGGCCTTCTCAACATTAACTGAATGATGTTTCATAGTAAACCACATGTTTAGTACTGTAACACTAGGGAAAGGTCATTCAGAGCTCCATTTGTGGCCTCAGCACTCAATCCATTGGGATTCTGTTATAAATGCATCAACATTAGTTTAAAAGTTAGAATATATGTTATATGTTATCTATGTGCAGGTTTCTTCTTATGAAGTGTTTTTGTGAATACAGGGGTTACACTTTCTGCTCTGAATAATTAAATCCCTCACAGATTTAAACTAGGGCTGCACGATGTTGGAAAAAACTGACAGAAATATGTGTTCTTCTTCTGCGGTATATATATATATATGTTGCATTATGAACAAATACAGGAATCTCAACCAGAAGAGCTGTTTTCCGTTCAACATCATCCTTTGTCACCAAAGTATTTCCATACTGACAAGCAGGGAATGTTTTTGTTAATAAATTGAAGAATGAATGTGATTGGTGGTTAGCAAGAAACTGCTTATCCATGAAGCCTTCAATAGTGATAAATGCAGACTTTTCTAGTAGATAAGTCACAGATAACAACAACCGTGCAACTTTTCCGGTTACACCATGCAGTAAAAATATGTAGCAGGATGATGCGAAGATCACAATGTCAATAGTTTATCGTGCGTCCCTTATTTACACTTTTCAAACTTTGGATTTCTCCTAGCAGACGGAGCTCATCTGTAAAAATGACATTGAATGATCCAACTTGAACGCTGTTGAAAGAAAAGGTAAAATAAGGCAGATGGACAACAAATTAAGCATTTACGTACAAGGTGCTCAGGTCACAAATGGCTCTGTTGGGACATTTGAGGTGAAAGCGGGAATAGTACAAACAGACTTTTTTAAATCCACTCTTGCATCATGTAAACATCAGCTCCTCCATAACAGAAATACAGTATTAGTGGTTAAACATGATGGCAGAACAATCGTCTTTACTTCATATGTTCCAGCCAAATCCCCCCTCCAAGTACATTTGTAAACTGCTACTACACACAGATTGGCTTTACCTAAAAGGGCATAAAACACAGGACAGAGAAAAGAGAACAGCCTGAAATTACACAAATCACAAATGTAACCTTCCATGTGTACTGGCCTTTAGTCTACTTTACATTAAAGAGGCAGAAAGGGCGTCATGATGTTTGTCAGCCGAAGTAAGGAATGAGGAAAACACACATTTGGATGGAAGAGGAAGCTGCACATCCTGATACAAATACACACTTCAGATCTGATGGAGGAATATATATTAAAGGTCTCATGTCATGGCCATGTCTACTGATCAGAATTCCATTGTGAGGTCTACTAGAATAGATTTATATTGTTCAATGTTCCAAACTCACATTGGTTTCTCATACAGCATCTCTGTATAGTATGTGTATTCACTCTCTGTCCTAAACGGCTTGTTGGAGCTCCTGCCCCCCCCCTCCCTGTGAGCCCAGTGGCCGTCTGCGAGACAGCGAGACACAGCGAAACCCAGCCCGAAACACACACACACCCGCAGCCTGGCTGGGAGTTTGTGTGTGTGCCCAGGCTGAGTTCCGCGGTGTCTCGCTGACCCCACACCAGTGAGCCAGCCCACTGTCCCGCTCCTCCAGCAGCGAGCCAGCCCACTGTCCGTCCTCCCAGCAGCGAGCCTCGCAACGTCCCGCCGAGGTGTGTGTGTGTGAGGAAGTCCGCGGATTGGTCCAAACCTAACGGCTCCGCGGACGTAACGTAACGGCTCCGCAGATTGGTCCATTTGGAGCGGAGCCGTTACGTTACGTCACTATACCCGAAATACGTCACTATACCCAAGAAGTAAACGATGGAAAAAGAGAAATCTCCAACGAGGCGTTCTGGGGCAGCACAGACAGGTCTTTTCTGTGTTAGAGTTTTACTCGCTACAAGGTGTACTTTGAGTGTTCTTGACTCTGCAGACCGTTTACAGGCAGAAAAAGCTACATAACACACAAGGGGACGGGTAACAACCAAAAAGCATGACATGGGACCTTTAAGAATAAATAAATAGGTTGTTATTCACAATGGACACGTCGTTCTGTATGGCCTTTCTTAGCAGCTCATTGAGCACAAGAGTGTTAATGCAGAAGCTTCACTTTGTTTACAATTTGAGTACAATTTAAATGTAATAACCGTTCAGTAGTGATCAAGTCACGTGCTGCACCCCATGGGGATCTACAGTAGGTGGGGTTGGGTGGATTCTAATAATCTGGATTGCAATACACAAGCAGAATTAGAAAGAGGACCAACACCGTGTACAAGTAGGAGAAATCCCAGAGGCCAGATGTACGACAATGTGTTTGCTTGAATTCCAAAACATGAACATATCATTGCAAAATAATCATAATTCTTAATATCAGTGGTTTCCAACTGGCCGTTTTATTTTCCTGGTAAACTCTGGATATTTGAACCTCTTTAAAGCCTCTAAATAACGTTGTCTTGTAGTTTGGGGAGTGGAAACTAAGGCAACATCAGATTAGGCAGTGGTTTTTTTTAAGTGTTAAACTACCGACACAATGAGCGTTATAGACTGGGACCAGAAACAACACATTTATAAGTAAAACATGAGTTATTTTACATGAAGTTTAGCCTAAGTAGCTCTTTAATTGCGGGTGTACAACAATTTCCTTTTTCAAATGTTTAATGTCCATTGTGTTTTTATTTTATCCATATTTATTACCTCAATGTCCATTTCAATGTAAGTGCTGTAAGCAAAATCTCTG